AATTTCAGTCAGTGTATATTTAATTTCTGACTGGTCCTTTTCCATTTTTTTTTTTTTTGCATTTTCATTAAGATCCTTGAAGGTCTCACTAAGTTCCTCAGAGGTTCGTAGAAGATTCTTGAGTAGCCTTATAACTGTGGTTCTGAACTCTATGTCCTCCATTAGTTTGCTGTCCTCCATTTCTTTCATTTGTGACATGTTTCTTTGTCTTCACAATTTTGGCTGACTGCAAGGACCCACTGTGTCTATAAGAAGAACTGCTGTGCTGGAGATACCCTTATACAGTAGGACTTGCTTCATTGGGGTTTTGGTGCTCACTGAGTCTGCTTCTTGAGTGTGTCCCTTATAGATGTGAGGAGTTGAAATCTAGTATCTGACTTGGAGTACCCTGGCTCCTGGATCTCCAAGTCAACCACTGTGTGGGTCCACCCAGCAGGGGCTACAGCAATATCAACAGATTTCTCCTCTTTGTTTGGAGTTTGGAAGTTTTGGAGCTCTCTGATTCATTGTAGTTTGTTAGGCTGTAAAAGTGCAGGTGCCTCCTTTGTGCCACCGAGCACAGCTTGGGAGGGGATGTAAATTGAGTGGGGGGTGGTGGTCTCAGAGAGTCCTCAGGGTGGAGCAAACAGCAATGGTGTGGTCAGCGACCCTGCGACTCTGACTCCAAAACTCCCTGAGTGCCGCGCGCCCCCACAGCAACAATGATCACTGCGAGCAGCTCTGTGAGAAAGTCACCCTTGCTTTCCGACCCGCTGCAAGACAGTCCCATTTCTCCCCGTAGGAGTCTGTGACCTCAGCATCTCGCTGTAAATGAGTTCAGTGCTTTCGAGAGCTTGTCCCCTTCCGATTGAAAAAAACCCGCACCAATGTGCAGCAGCCTCCCACGCGCCTCCGTACCTCTGTTCTTGACGCCTCTCCCCTCCTACTCGGACAAATGTGCTTTTTTCTTTCCTTCTAGTTATAGAATTTCCACTCGGTCAGCTTTCCTATGGTTCTGGATGATAGCTGTTTTGTCTTATAGTTGTGCCCCACCCCTGCTCTAGAATGACAATAGTAGTTGAGAAGAGTCCAATTGGTCAGCTTTCCTATGGTTCTGGATGATAGCTGTTTTGTCTTATAGTTGTGCCCCACCCCTGCTCTAGAATGACAATAGTAGTTGAGAAGAGTCCAATTTGATATTGAGGAACTCTCACAGCAGTGACGCCATGAGTTATATGCAGGAGGCCATGAACTATAGGGTCATTTCTGACTTTTCTTTTCTTTTTTTTTTATTGCTTAAAGTATTACAAAGAGTATTACATATGTCTCCTTTTTTTCCCCCCTTGCCATTCCCCCGGCCTCCCCTCCCCCCCACGTTC